GCTGTGGCAGCCACTTTGCTGGCCCGGTTTATGAAATGAAAGACTATCTTGAGTGGACCGAAGGAAAGGGGGTAAGCTCCTTTCTGATCTTCATCCTTATATATGTTATGGCGAGACATATATGTACGTGTGTGTATGTTTTAAATATTAAATCTTGAGTTCCCTTTGAGAGGATGAGGAAGCGATTCTTGATCCACCTTCGGTACAACTTGTCAAAGTTTTTTGTTTGATTGTTTTCGTACTTTTTGTGCTTCAGATTTGGGCTACTGAGAAAGGAAATGCACCGTCACCATATGGGGCCACACTCCGAGCTCTTTTACAAGCTGGGATTTGCATGGCTTTGTATCTTTATTTAGTGCCTTATTTCCCGTTAACTCGGTTCACCGAACCCATTTACCAAGAATGGGGGTTCTGGAAAAGATTGGGTTATCAGTACATGTCTGGCTTCACAGCTCGTTGGAAGTATTATTTCATATGGTCGGTTTCAGAGGCTTCTATTATCATCTCTGGATTGGGTTTCAGTGGTTGGATCGATTCTTCTCCGCCAAAGCCAAAGTGGGACCGTGCCAAAAATGTTGACATTATAGGAGTTGAGCTTGCCAAGAGTGCGGTTCAGATTCCCCTTGTGTGGAACATACAAGTCAGCACTTGGCTCCGTCACTGTGAGTTTGCGGTTGAGTTCTACATCATAGTATAGTACTGTGCCAGAATATACCTTATCGCAAGTTAACCATTCTATTGTTTGGTACAGATGTATATGAGAGGCTCGTAAAGAGAGGGAAGAAAGCAGGTTTCTTCCAGTTGCTAGCTACGCAAACTGTCAGTGCTGTCTGGCATGTGAGTTCCTCCATGATATTACGCAGTTTTACCCTTCTTTGAATCTTTTCTTTGGTGTCGGTTATCTTCAGAACCGGGCAGGAAAATATTTCCACCACCATCTTTTTATGCTCACAAGCCTCGAATGTTGCTGTTTGCGTTGCTTCCTGTGTAAAAAACTCGTATAGCACAACGTATATGTTATGGAAGTTTATTGATGTTATCTTGTATCTGCAGGGACTATATCCTGGTTATATCATATTCTTCGTTCAATCAGCATTGATGATCGCCGGTTCAAGGGGTAAGTATAAGATACAATGTTATCGTCTTCTTCTACCGTTTATAACGAACTCAAAATTATATTATATATTCTGGACGGACGAGCAGTGATTTACCGATGGCAACAAGCCATTAATCCAAAGATGGGTATACCGAGGAAGGTGATGGTGTTCGTGAACTTCCTCTACACTGTATTGGTCCTCAACTACTCATCCGTCGGCTTTATGGTAATGATTCTCCTCCTCCCTCATCTCTCTCTCTCTCTCTCTCTCTCTCGCTCTGACTGGCATTCTGCTTCAGTTGCTGAGCTTGCACGAGACAGTCACTGCCTATGGAAGTGTACATTACGTAGGAACGATCGTGCCGATAGTCGTGATCCTCCTTGGATACGTCGTTCCAGCCAAACCGCCGAAGCCCAAAGCACGTACAGAGTGAGTAACGTGAAGAATGGTGTGCTGTCGATTCTTTACTCTCTCTCTCTTCTCTCCCGTTTCACTTCAGCGCTTCTCTTCTTCTTTAACTCTGATTTTTATGGACATGTTTTGGGCTCCCACAGCTTCTATAACTTAAGCTCTCTTCTTTCTCAGTTTTCTTTTTTTCATGTTTGATACGCAAAACTACGAACATGCATGCATCTATCCATGCATGCGTGTGTATGCCGAGAAGAGAAACAACAGGATATTGAGGAGGCCACAGGAGTGAAATCTGTGGATCTTGAATTTTCTAACTGTTAGTTTAAGTTTCCAAGTTTTTTATTAAAATTTTTTATAATGATTAGGATCGCGGAGAGCGTGAAATTCACACCCGATTAAATAATATAATCTACATGTTCAAGTCATCATTTTCCATCTGAATATGGAATTATGTCAAATCATCAATACAGTAAAATAATAATTTTTTTTTATTTGAATTATGATAATTGTCCAGATGCCCATCTCTCTTTACCCACTGGAAGATTAAAAATACGGGGAGAGATTCCATGTGACACTAACTGGTTTTTAATAGTTTGTTTAGGGCTAAACGCCAAACTGAAATACGGTTAAGATGGAAAGAGAGGATTAATCATGATGTAAGTAAACATTACCAAAAAGAGAAACGGTATGATTTGGAGCACTATGTACCCACACACACCCATATATATTGCAAAAAAAAAAAAAAAGGAAAAAACTTTTAAAAAATTATATATATTAAAAAATTAAAATTTTTTATATTCCATAATATAGAAATACAACATCCAAAAAATTAAAAACAAAATATAAGACAGAAATAAAAAAGAATGGATCTCATGCAACTAACACAAAAAAAAAAAAAACTAAAATGTTATACATATTATACACATGGCACCGTCCTACACCGCTCTCACGCATCTTTTTATGCTAAACATAGATAGAATTTGTATATAATATTAATTTATAAGCGTATTTAAATTGCATCTAAAACTCGAGATCCCTTCTTGAAAAAGAAAAAAAAATATGAAAAATAGATCTAATTTTGCCAAGAGATCAACAAAGACATGGACCATGTCGGCCATGTTACTCACTCTTTGTCAACAATCCATTATATATACATACATACATATATATATATATAAGACTTTTTAAAATGTTTCTTTCTAAATTCAAAGTCATACAAAATCCAATTTCGTCTCCTCTAATGAATACGCTATGTATGGACCCCCACCCCAAAAAAAAAGTTATGTCGTTTTTCTTTCATGTTAGATTTCATGAAAAAAGAGAATCCAACCAATGAGAAAAGCACTCCTCTGTCTTTTATATATATATATATATATAAATGTAAAACATAAACAAAATTGTCAATTCGGTGTCAGAAAAAAAAAGAAAGAAATTGTGAGGGTGTTTTTTTAAGAATATCTTGGACCACGGTACGAAACTCATAAAGGGACTGGCTATTGTGTATCGGTTTTTTTTTCTTAAAAAATGAATTATAGTTTTGGAAATTTTTGAAATAAAAATTAATGTCCATTAAATACTATATAACTATATTAAAATAGATTACATATATTTTCTATAAAGTACTATAATTTTGATAAATTTTAAATTTAAGTTAAAAAATCCAAATTTTTATTTAAAATTGATATTTTTATAGAAAAAATGAATATAAATATAACATAGACTAGACCGAAATTTAATATAAAGATTGAATCTATATTCATTTATTGAAAAATTCAAATCCGAAAATAAACACTTAAAATCTGAAGGAAAAAAAAAATCAATCTCTACCATTCTGTTTGATAGTGGTTTTTGTTGGGGATAATTTTTGGTAGAAAAACAAGCATAATTGAATTTGAATACTAAACTAAGTATAATATATCACTATATATATATATATATATATATATATAATACCGTGCAATGTAATCATTTGAGTTTGAATCCTTTTAGACTATCATATTTCTTTGGAAATTGGAAAGTACAAACCCACCACCAAAATGTCATATGGCCGACTGAGCCAAACAGCCAGTCATCACAAATAAGTTGGCCCCAAATTAATATCATATACACATACACATTGTATATATATATATATATAACGTGTGTGTGTGTACGTATAGACGTGGGATGTGGCTTAAATGGCACAAGTTTTTAAAGGATCATTTGCTGTTGGCCCTTTTCTTAGGATTTCGACGAGGACACGTCGTCATTTGATGAGTTTGACTTCAGAAACAAGCAAACAAACAAAAAACACCGCCTCTGATCTCTTACAATTATTGCTTGATTCTTTGATTTTTTTTTGGTTAAAGATTCTTTGATCTTTTCATGAAATAAATCATTCTTTCGGTTGTTTTGTTGGTCCGATCGATCGAAATCTTTATGTAGCGAGACGAATCTTTATACATCGTTCTTTTAAGTGATGTGTACGCGAAAATAACAAAAGCCCTAATTTTTTTTTTCGGACAACCCTAACTTTATACGGTCGATAGGACTGATCATTTAAATCCATTATCCATGGGTTTGCGGATACCTGATCTCATAAGTACCCGGAAAACGGATACTCGACACTGAATGAAGACGAAGACGAGTACTATAAGATGAAGACAAAGACAAATACGGATTTTATTTTCTCAAGACGGATATCCGGGTTATCCCTAAATATATAAATATGATTAAATATTCTTTTTTTTAAAATTATTTATTTAAATATTAGATTCTAACTTTTACAAATTAACATATATATTTAAAAAAAACTTTTATTAATCTATATATATATTCAAAGATTTATAATTTTTTTATATTTTAAACATATTTTTAAATTAAATAATATAATTTTATTAAATATTTAGTTTATATTTATTTTTAAATACAGGTATCCGCGGATACCCGTCTCTTAGTGGCGGGTACCCGGGGTTAATGGGATAGAGAACGAGACTTTGTTTTCCTAAAACACGCGAAAATGAAGATGAAGAAGAGATAGAGAACGAGACTTTGTTTTCATAAAACCCGCGAAAATGAAGATGAAGACGGGTATCTCCAAAATCGCGAGTATCCGATCCGTGCCCAACCCTAACCGTTGATGATTATGAACCATTTTGAGATTATATATATATATATATGTATATATACATGGCATTAATTGAAAATCAAATTAAGGAAAGGATTATTTGCAGTATATGTACAAGACAGAAAGGGTCCATGAGATATGGGAAAAGAGATATGTTGTCTGCTCTGTGCGGAGAAGCAAAAGCACGGAAATATTCATTTCACTTTTGAGTGATTATTATCTCTTTTGAACAACATTCAATGCCTTGTCTTATTCTTCTTCAGTTTTTATTATACATATGATATGAAATTGTTGTAAAATATGGAGGTAAATAGGAGTTATGATGAGGTAAAAGAAGCAGTACACTACACACAACGTGAACACATAATTCAATTATAGCCATATCATAATATATATATATATATATATATATCCATAATTAAACAGTGGAGATGTTTAATCAGAAGAGACGGACAAGCCGAATTAATTATCATAAAAAATCTTTTTTCACCAATTCTCATAAATTTTTCTAAACCCCTTTTTTTTATGATTAATGGCCATTACAAATAGATAATTGTCTCTGGACTCTTCAACCATTTCTCAAAACCCTAAATGAAAACATTGAAAGTAATGTGTATATATATATGTATTGTATGTAACGAAAGAAAGCCGCTTCCTCTCCATTTTAGTGCCCCTTTAATTTTGGCTCTCTATGTTGAAAATCTTCTGATCTTTTGCCGAGGATGAGAACATTATACAAAATACTTTTTATAATATTTATGGAATGTGGGTTCACTTCTCCATTTTCCTTTCCTTGGTTTTTCTATGTTATGGTTCCTCCAATTCCAAATAATTAGTTACTAAACTTTATATATATATATGTTCACATTCCTTTTTTGGAATTATTCAATATCTTACAATAACCGATAGAGTTTGATGTATGGATGGAAACGAAAAATATACGCGGCCGATCCTAAATAAATTTGTGACTAAGAAGATGTTAATGTTGATGTATATGTAATAACATATTTTGTGAAGTTAATGGTCGAATCTGAGTCTTCATGTGACACTATCATAACAAAGAATACCTTCATTAATATTCCTAAAAAATTCAATTAAATGTTACACTATATGTAAATATCTGCTTAAACTATACTACATATCCAAATTCATGATCTTTGAAAAATAATTTTCGAGCATTTCATATATATCCCGAAGATCATTCACCAACGGTTATTGGATCATCTAAATACAATTATGTATACGGTAAACACATATCTTTTAGGTAATTGACATATGTGTTCATTAATGATAACATTTCCTCGTTGCAGTTTAACCAAAACAAAATATAGTATGATTTATATCATTTTCCATTTGAAAACTAATTTTCAATTACAAGACAGGTCAAAGGTCAATAGATCCTACGTTTATCACCAAGCAGTAAAAAAACAATATATATATACCTGTATATATATTCCATGCTAATGCTATATCAAAGAAAAACCAAACCATATATCTTAAATATGGAGATTATAATAACTTTTAAAACTTCATAAATGTTCTCATATATATTTGTGCAAATACATTATACATATGTAAATACACATTAGTTGACCAATATATATATATATACATCTATCTGAAGATATATTTATATCACAAAGATTTTACTAACCATTCATAAAATTATAAAATAAAAAAAAGCGGCACATGAGAGAGCACAAACGCATGCACGTACGTACTACGTAGCAGAATTAGATTTGATCAAAACTACTAGAATAAAAAAAAATCGTAATTACATCTTATTAATTATTCGATCCACACTGATCGTATTCGCACACGCGCACAAAAGAGAGATTACAAATCTAAACCTATAATGCGAGATTCAAGAACATCCCAACATTCAGAAATCATTAATTATGCACTTTCTGATTTATATATTTTCAGGCTCTTTAATTAGGTCTTTTAATTTAGCACAATCTTTCTCAATTCTTTTTGTCGCAAATAATGTTATTATTTAGTAAGATTTTTGGGCATTGAACTTCATATATGATGGAGACCAAAAAAAAGACGTTCATATATATGGAATTGGTCTCCTCAAACAGGCAAAAGAGAAAGATCGATGGTCGCACATACATACGTATATATGTATATGTATATGTATATAGAGAGAGAGAGTCGACAAGAACTGATCAATAGCTCCACAAACTGTCTCCACCGTCCGAATTCTCCGGCGAGTCATCCGACGGAGGAGAAACCATCCACGGTGGCGGAACCAGCATCCCCTCCGCCATGTCAGCGAGCAAATTGTGCATGTTCAAGATAGCTTCTTCGTCCACAAACTCCGTCCCCGGACCCGCCGCCTGGTCACCACCTCCGTGACTCTCACGCGCTGCCGGAGACGCCAACCCACTTTTCCCTTCCTCCTTCTTCACCACAGCCGAGGCCGCCGCCGCAGCCGCCGCGATCCTTATATCCGCCGCGGAGGAGGAGCCCGGGACGGGGGATGACGTGGGCAGATTCCGGGAAGTTCAAGACAGCTTCGCCGCCTTTGAGGGCAAGAGCCGCGACGTCGTAGGCCGTGGCGGCCATCTCCGCCGTGGGATAAGTCCCGAGCCAGATTCTAGTCGTTTTCTTGGGCTCACGAATCTCGGAGACCCACTTCCCGCTCCGGCACCGGATTCCCCGGTACACCGGATGTCTTTTCCGGACACATGAATCTGCAGCGGAGACTGCGGCGGCGGCCATAGCGGCGGGGGGCAGCCGCAGAAGGAATAGTAGTGGTTTGGAGCGGCGGAGGGATTTCACACGTGCGAGGGGGAGTGTCACACGTGTGAGGAGGTGGAACATTTGCTGAGGAGGAAACTTTGGCTATAGGGTCTTTTGTGGGGTTTTTAGGGTCATCCATTACACATATATACACACACACACACAAAATAAGGGAACAGTGTGAGTGTGTATGTATATGCAGTTTATATGAATATGGCAGACAATTGTTTTTAGGGTTTAGGGAGAGATATCTTAATAGTTAAATATGAGATTGGAATCACGGTGAATTACGTGGGCATTGCGTGGGTTTTGTCAAATCCAGTTGTTCTTTACTCACTTTTACTGGGGATTTTTTTTTTGGTTGCCCTAAAGCTTTGTGGGGTTGGTTGAGGATGTTCCAGCCATCGTATTTATTAATTATTTGATATATTTTGAGAAACTTTGCAATGATTTGGATGTTAAATTTGGATTTTTTTGGTAATTTGTGCATCTCGACTGCCTTTTTTTCCCTGGCTTTGTGTATATATATTTATAAAGTTTCATCCATTTCTTAAGGTTTTTTATTTATAAAAAAAAAAATATGAGAGAAGTCAACACATATACTAGTAAATGTAAATGAGTTATTGTAGAAATAAAAAATCTTATTAAATACGCAGGTGCAGAAAATCTAATCGTCAAACACCAATGTATAAAGAAAATTATTAATTGTTTTAATGTTTTGGGTAAACGGGTATCCTCAATCAAAGCCAAAATTAATTTTTGGACGAGACATAAGTTTAGCATCTTCGTTTGTATTTGACCGATTGAATTATCCAAGTTTTGATGTTAGGTGTTAAAATAAGTTGGTTGAGGAAAATAAATTCCCGAATATATATATATATATATATATATATATATATATATTATAGTACACGCGTGTTTATATGTGTATATCCATGGGTGATTATCTAGTCACTTAGCTGTGTTTACAGTGTCAGTCCTAAGTTTGTGCTCTGGCTCTCCCTCTCTCCCACGAACTATCCACGGAAAAAGAATAGTGTTCGTACGGAAGTATGACCGAAGAATTACAATTTAAATAATATATAAGAAATAATAGAATTATATTTTATATATTACTGTCTTTTCTTTTTGGTTTATTTTTATAGAATTATGTGATACATTTTTTTTTATTGAATTATGAGTTTTACTAAAACTATGTTAATCTAACTAAATTTATTTAATTATCAATAGTATAATAAGAATAATTATCTTATAGTTTGTTAATATTTTAATACATTATGAGAAAATTATTTTTTATGATATAAAATTTGATAAAAATACAATAAAATGCATATTTACACGAGTCAAAAACTATAGATGGATGACTTACTCCATTCCATTTTACGAGAATTATTAGATATTGAATAATTGATATGTATATATATATATATATATATATATCCTTGAAATCTAAGAATAAAAATTTATACACGTCACATGAGGAATGCAACCACGTAGGGTATCATCCGACAAGCTGTGTTTTTTACTTGAGGGCGAAGGTTATTTCCCGAATCGTCTATTTTTTTATTTATACGAATCTTTGTAGTACTCTTTTTCTTTACAACTATAATTAAAATAATGCAAAATATTATATATATATATATATATATATATATATTCCAAATAAACCTTTTAGACGTTTCGCTTTGGATAGGTAATTGAAGTTCAACCCATTACTTTTGTAGGTGGCAAGTCATAACACATGGCTCTCTCAAAATCGTGTATATATATATATATATAAACACATCCAAGTTTGGGTGGCCTAGTGGTGAGAGAACATGCAAAGCATGTTCTTATTTTAGGTTCAAATCTAAATGTGGGGAGAGACATTCACATGGGAGATGTAGTCTCCCGGATTATCAAAAAAAAAATATATATATATATATATATATATATATAAACACAACAAAATACACATGTAAATATGGCTAAATAACACTTCATAAAAATAAATATTTTAATCAAGCAATAAAATTAAATGATCCAATTTAGGCTATTTTTCTCCGAAAAAAACGGATTAATCTGTTTTCATAAAAGTAATGGGCTGACACTGATGATACCGAAAGCACACAGGAATATTCACAAACCCATTTTCAAGTTGGGCTCACACGAACCTTCAATGGGCTTTTACAATAATTTCAAAATAAATGAAATTAAAGAGAATTATAATAATAATAATTTTAAAAAAAAATGAGGAAAAGGTGAGTGTAGGACACGCGCAAGCGACACTCACTAGACAGTATGAGCATTTAATGCGAGAGAAGATGTGGCCGACATCGTTTCTCACATTGTCGGAACGACAATATATCTTAGTATTTAATTAATTAACTAATTTATCATTTTTTTGTCAAACTAATTTATCATTTGTTAACATATTATATACTTTTTATTTTAGCTTTGGATCTTATCATCATCACTCAATATCGTCATCAGTGACATCTAGGTATGTAGCGTTATTATTATTTTAAATTTTGGAACTTACGTTTATATAGTTATTCACATATTTTCATATCCGCAACTCAATGAATTGTATTGTTATTTCCGTCCATAGAGTTTATCAAATACACATAATTTAAGAAAAATAAAAACTAATACAATAATAAATTTATGCAATTCCCCTTTTAAAATTCCGATTACGTTGCAAATTGTCTTCTTATCCGCAGAATAGGATATAAGGAAATGATTATTACATATACTATATTCCGTTGAAAAGCATGAAATTGTAAAAATGTAAATAGGTCTCCCACGCAAATCCCACGTGTTTCCAAACATGGAAAATCACTCACGTGCTTTAAATCCCCAAAAATATAAAAAAAAAATGGATATTAAATCACGTGATTGTGGAATTAAATAGTAAAAAAAATCTCACTGATTCTTCTGCGGCACAGGAGTTAATATAATAACAAATACTAACTGCTAGGTGTTTAATTAAAAACAAAAACTAATAATTAGGCTAACAAAAACAAATTTTTTTGGTGATAAATAATAGCTGATGTGGACATATGTCTGCCAGGCTGGCGACTTTTAAGCAACTCCATGTCAGTCCCGTGTTCACCTCGCATCCAGTGGGCCCACAATATCCTATATATATATCCCTCATTCACTTCCTCTCTGCTTCAGACCTCCAACAACCAAACCCAAAAAAAAACATCGAATTTCAGTTCACCATTTTCCGGCAAAATCTCCATTTTCCGGCGAAGTCTGCGAGATATGAGAAATGACGAATTTGTCCTGGCCGAGATGCTGCCGAAGAAGAGAGCCGGTCGGAAAGTGTTCAAAGAGACACGTCATCCTGTCTACAGAGGAGTACGCCGAAGAAACGGCGACAAGTGGGTATGCGAAGTACGTGAACCGAAGCACCAACGGCGTATATGGCTCGGCACCTATCCCACGCCGGAGATGGCGGCGCGTGCACATGACGTGGCCGCACTCGCTCTCCGCGGCCGTTCCGCCTGCCTCAACTTCGCAGACTCCGCCTGGTGCCTCCCTTCGCCGGATTCCGACGATCCCGACGTCATCCGGAGCGCGGCGGCTGCGGCGGCGGAGATGTTTCGTACGCCGGAGGTAGGGAGTGAGATTACGGTTTTGCCCTCCGACGGTGGAGGGTCTGCGGAGGAGGAGGAGATGACGATGATGAGTAGAATAGCGGAGGAGCCATTGATGTCGCCGCCACGGCCGATGTACTACTACGGGGATGTCGGCTCATGTGTGTACGTGGATGATGATAGTTCCTATGATGACGTGTCCTTGTGGAGTTATTAAATTCACATGTATCTGTGTGCATGCGTGTGTGTATATATATGGAGTGTGGTTAGAACTTAGATCCTCTGTCCAAGATTCTTTGACGGAACTATTTGTCAGATTCCTGGAACCTTCTGAAGGTTTATTTTTTCTGAATGTGACACAATATTAATTAATTAATTAATTAGTAGGTTGATTTTAATTTTATGAATTAATCAAAGTTAATTAAGATTATGGTGTGGGTGTTTTTTTTATTGGATATTTGATATTTGAAGCATCCATTCGTATACGGAGTGTGTTGGTGTTCGAAGCCATGGCGAGGTTCTTCGGACAAGTCTCCGTCATCTCCCTCATCGCTCTCTTCGGCGCCGCCACCACCACCACCATGGCAGCATATTACTTCTTCCCAAGAGATGAGGCCTTTGGTATAACGGCTGGTAATTTTAGACCAAACTCTTCCTCCATTGAAGATCACAAAACACAACAAAATCTGATTCATAATTTTCACATCACACACACAATACACACACAAACATGTGTGTGTATATATATATATATATATCATGTAAGTAAACCCCTGAGTTTCCTATTCAAACAACAGTATCCGCAAGAACAAGAACAGTTAAACGACGCCGTTTAATACAATTCCACTGCACACGCTATGGTCCTGAAGCTTTGAACGACGAAACACGAGCTTTTTTTGGGACAGATCCGGCAGTTTTTTACAGATGGGTCAGATGCCAAAACCAGCTGTACACTTGAAAATTGCTTCCTTTTTCTTTTCCTTTGCTTTTAGCACACGAGCGATAATCTGAGGGATTGCCCGGTGGGAATATGAGTGCAAGATGCCCATCTGATCATCGACTCTGTGACTGCAACGTCGACGATGAGCTGATCGAGCTCGCCCAGCCCTATGGTTCGGTTCCTCTTGCTGTGCATTCCCGATATTCTCGACCAGTTTGCTCTCTCCCTTCTTGTCTCTGTCTTCACCGGTTCTGTCTCCCCCCTAGTTTCATGCTTTGTCGGGCTTGTCTCTACAGTTCAAGAAAAGAGATATGGTCAAGATGCGAAGGGGAAATGCCCTGAAAAGGCCTCGAGCTCGAGCTCAAGCTCTTGTCAATTCAAACCGTTTAATGGCTACAAGGGCAGTTCTACCTTCAAGTTTTTCATCTTTCCCGGGGCCTGGACTGAAAAAGGTAAAGCTTGGCATCGAGGGAAATCCGGTCAAGAATCCATCTGAGGCACATTCTGCGTGCCCATCGAAAGAAAACCCTCCAAGTGCCGGGGTGTTATCCGCAACTAGGAAAGACGAGAACGAGTTCTGTCCCGTTGATTGCACATATTGGCCGACATTAAAGCTATAATCTTGATCACGGGAAACGTATTGGGTGGAGAAAGAATCTCCCCCGATCTCCATCCCTTCGCATCCAAAGCCATTGCGATCATAGTTTTCTTGAGCTGATTCAGATAATTGCTCCATCCAGGAGTGAGCTTCAAATAAACACAACCGAAAAATGATCAGATTAATACGTATCAGAAGTTATTGAAACTCATCAAGACTCGTAACTACAGCATCTCGCAACTTCTTCGTTCTCTCATAACTAATCTGATTTGTCTTTAGAAATTGAATGAGGAAAGTCAATTGGGAGCTTACCATTTATGAATTTTGTCAGTATCTTACTTAAGAAAAGATCTAAAGAGTGAAAATTTGCAAGCAGAAAGCAAGAAAAAGGCCGGTGGTTTGGCTAGTTTGAAATGTGAAAAGCATCATGTAAGTAAACCCCTGAGTTTCCTATTCAAACAACAGTATCCGCAAGAACAAGAACAGTTAAACGACGCCGTTTAATACAATTCCACTGCACACGCTATGGTCCTGAAGCTTTGAACGACGAAACACGAGCTTTTTTTGGGACAGATCCGGCAGTTTTTTACAGATGGGTCAGATGCCAAAACCAGCTGTACACTTGAAAATTGCTTCCTTTTTCTTTTCCTTTGCTTTTAGCACACGAGCGATAATCTGAGGGATTGCCCGGTGGGAATATGAGTGCAAGATGCCCATCTGATCATCGACTCTGTGACTGCAACGTCGACGATGAGCTGATCGAGCTCGCCCAGCCCTATGGTTCGGTTCCTCTTGCTGTGCATTCCCGATATTCTCGACCAGTTTGCTCTCTCCCTTCTTGTCTCTGTCTTCACCGGTTCTGTCTCCCCCCTAGTTTCATGCTTTGTCGGGCTTGTCTCTACAGTTCAAGAAAAGAGATATGGTCAAGATGCGAAGGGGAAATGCCCTGAAAAGGCCTCGAGCTCGAGCTCAAGCTCTTGTCAATTCAAACCGTTTAATGGCTACAAGGGCAGTTCTACCTTCAAGTTTTTCATCTTTCCCGGGGCCTGGACTGAAAAAGGTAAAGCTTGGCATCGAGGGAAATCCGGTCAAGAATCCATCTGAGGCACATTCTGCGTGCCCATCGAAAGAAAACCCTCCAAGTGCCGGGGTGTTATCCGCAACTAGGAAAGACGAGAACGAGTTCTGTCCCGTTGATTGCACATATTGGCCGACATTAAAGCTATAATCTTGATCACGGGAAACGTATTGGGTGGAGAAAGAATCTCCCCCGATCTCCATCCCTTCGCATCCAAAGCCATTGCGATCATAGTTTTCTTGAGCTGATTCAGATAATTGCTCCATCCAGGAGTGAGCTTCAAATAAACACAACCGAAAAATGATCAGATTAATACGTATCAGAAGTTATTGAAACTCATCAAGACTCGTAACTACAGCATCTCGCAACTTCTTCGTTCTCTCATAACTAATCTGATTTGTCTTTAGAAATTGAATGAGGAAAGTCAATTGGGAGCTTACCATTTATGAATTTTGTCAGTATCTTACTTAAGAAAAGATCTAAAGAGTGAAAATTTGCAAGCAGAAAGCAAGAAAAAGGCCGGTGGTTTGGCTAGTTTGAAATGTGAAAAGCCTTTCCAAAGACTTCTTTATCAGGGATCCAATCTATAACCACAGTATCAACCTCAAAAGCCTTAGATGCACATCACATCATTTAATGACATACCTAAAACCTGGTCAGCCGTTAATCGTTGGGAAGGATCTATGCTGATCATTCCCTGGATCAAGGCCTTAGCCGAAGAAGTTATACGGTCCCATGGGTCAGGAGGAAATCTCAAATCTGCAGCCCTGACAGCATCAAAAATCTTCGACTTAGTCTTTCCCCAAAAGGGTGGGACCCCACTGAGAAGAATGTACAAAATAACTCCAGCACTCCATACATCAGCAGCTTGATTATAGCCCCCAGATAATACTTCCGGAGCTATATAAAACGGGCTACCAACGGTTCCATTCAACTTTTCGCCTGCTCACCAGAAAACTTATGTCTTAGAAATACAGAGTCCATGCAAAATTTTCTGGATTTGGAACTTTAAATGACACCATCTCTTACCAGATTTGATAAAGGTTGCCAGACCGAAATCTGCCAGTTTAATGGGAGATGAAGAAGACGTCGTGGCCAACAGAATGTTTTCAGGCTTCAGATCTCTGTGAACAATACCATTATCATGACAAAACTTGACAACTTGCATCAGATGCTTGAAAAGAACCCTAGCCCGAGACTCGGAAAATCTTCCATATTTCTCAAGCTGGTGGAAAAGCTCACCACCTGCACATAATTCCATCACGAGATGCACATAATCCTCCTCCTCAAAAACTGCCTTGAGATTAACGACATTCGGGTGCCCGGCTAATTTGGTCATTATTCCAATCTCAAGCTTGACGCTCCTCATGTCGTCCCGTGTTACAAGTCTGTCTTTGGAAATAGACTTGCAAGCGAGTCTCTCTCCTGTTAACTTATCAGAACATACTCTTATCACGCCAAACTGACCCCAACCTAACTGTTCCCCGAGCAAATATCGATCTTTCAAGTTTGAAACATGAACCGGGTTTAGAATGGTCTCGCTAAGGCTTGCAACTTTATAGCAGTTGCTGAACTCAAACAAGGGCTGGCTTGTATTCTCCTTATCAGGCACGTCCATGCCAATATACCAACACTCACTTGTCCAAAGCACAAACCAAAACTTCAAAGCCTATATTCTAATTCTACGAGCGATGAATCTTATCTTAGACACACTCCTTGAAAAATCAACAGTAATTCCAAGCTCAGAAGGAATCTGCAAACTACCGGTTATGCATAATCCAAGCCATCTTCTTTCTTCAACGCGTTAAAACATGCTACGCAAGCTGCATTCTTTCTTGGACCCTCTGATCTGAGAATTTTCAAGACAGAAACTTTAGAGACAAGGGTTGATCTACAATTTGAGTCACCAAAAACAGAAATATTTCACCAAATCACTTTTTTGATTAAAACATTTCACGAGTTTCCGGAATTAAACACCAATTTGTTACCAAATCAGCTTGAAACTAAGCAAGCTAAACAAAACCCATGATCGATTTCCCTTCACAGATCGAAAAAGTAGAGTCAAATTGACATCGGAATGAAGATTCGTACTAAAACCCTACATAACGCCAAAACCCTAGCTCTAGAACACAGAAGGCATCTCAGTATTGGATTAATCGACGAGAAAATGTTAAATTCAAGCATTCAACACCACTAAACCTACGGGAATCTGAACCATGATCAAACCAGAGAGTTCGAGAAAACCCCCCACAAAAGGCAAAAATCTAACATAAGCGGAAGGAGATGGCTTCGGTTTTACCGGAAAATTTCATCGAGAAATGACACAAAGATTGAGAATTTCACCTTTTCTCAGAGGAATCCCATAGAAGAACAAGAACAGCTATGCGTTGCAGCGAAGAGACCTGACCCCGTCTTGTGCTCTTTTCTCTCTCTCGTTCAAAAACTACTCCGTGTCTACGGGTTACCGGCAGAACCTGTTTCTAGTTCCCTTAGTTCCATAAAAGTCTAAATTTATAATTGTACCCCACTGCTTTACTCATATTTTAATAAAACCTCGTAAACTTTTAATTATTGTTAAATCCCACCCCCGAATGCAATTTATGTACAATTCACAGCTTTAATGGGTCTGTATCAATTAAATACTGGAACTAATGAACTGAAATATTTTCGATAAATATTGATTTTGTTGAGCTATTTACTTCTTGTATTATCTTTAAAAATGTGGATAAAAAATATAAGTCTATAGAAAAGGTGAAATAAGAAACTTCAAAATGAAAAAATTGTGATTTTTTATAATTTTGAAATTATTAATAACGATATTTCAAAGATTATGAAACCGAATGGATTTGGTGTTATCATATTAACATATAAAAAATAATATGAGTTTTAGTATTAGATTATCAATGTTATATAGCTTAAACTAATTTATTAATTTAGTCCATGTCGGTTCCTATACTCTTAATAAAAGCGGAAATGAGAGGAATATTATGATGTTTTGGTTGGCCTATCGATTGCTAAGAATACAGGTGTTGAAATGGAATATAAATAACATATAGGGACTTAAGGATAATTACGTTGGGCTCTAACACATAGGTTGCCAGTAATATGTCTCCACGTGTCCACTGGGCCACCTTGGTCGCTTGCAATTACTACCCGTTACTCGAATCCCACATGCTCGGTGATGATTATTCCACATTCCTTTTTTTCCTTTACTAATTCATTTATAAAATTTATTTTTAATAACGATAGTATTTTTTTGGTAATGCTAAGTATTTTTGCTACTTTGACTATTACATTTGTCACATCTGTGATTCTATACTAAGCACGTAAAATTAATTACATTATTTATGACTAAAGTAAATAAATAGGTAGATTGTTATTAACAAATTAAATACTTTTTTACCCAAAAATAATAATTTAATATCTCTTTATTATAAAAAAAAATGTTTGACCTTTTGCCTGTGGAAGTCGTAGTTATCGCGGCGGATGTGGAGCCCACATAAAACCCAATGGGGTACTGCCACGTGGAAATATCTGAACCGTCGAGAATGAAGCGGGACCTTGCTTTGAAGTGTGGTGGACCTCCTACGTGGAATATAAATTGCTTGTATTTATTAAAGTCTGAAGGCAGTCCAAGAAGAGAAGACAACGGATTATGGAATTGTTTTTTCTTCTTTAAATTACAAACAAATTGCTCATTTTTTATAATTTTTCTTCTTAGAGAATTCGTACGTTTTAATTGCGGATTTGCAAAGTCAACTGTCAAATTCAAAAAATTAAATAACAGCTTGTATATTCTTCTTAGAGAATTCGTACGTTTTTATCATTATCAATTTATCGCTAAACAGAGAATATGTTTAAATTTCATATATATATATATATATATATATATATATATATATATATATTATTGTTAAACTTTAAATTTAATCTTAACTAACGGAGCTTATTAGTTATTACTGCTTAATCATTTTTGTTCTCATAATCACGTGGTAATACTTATATTGTACACTACATTAGGAAACGAATGACGTGACACTTTAATATAAACATAGTGGTACACATATATTGATTATGTAATCATATATCCGCATATCAATTGTTTTTTCTTCATTATAAGTAATTAGAATATTTTTTCCGTTGAAATATTAACCTTTTATGAAAATTAAGAAAAAGTATGAAAAAGTGTGCTCACACGATGATATACAAAAACACCCAAGATTCTATTTCCTTGGTAAAGGTGAAGTACAACTCGTTTTTGTTGAAGTAGCACTCACCCACTCGTTTTACTCCCCTGAGCAAAACCTCGTACCACAAGAAATTCTATCAGCCCAAACACTTTGTGTGCAACGCACACCACGTGTTATCCTAGACCCGTCTAGGCCTGTGAGCGGTTCGCCAGTTATTTGACGACTCCCCCTCAGATACACCTCTCACTCTTTCAAGTAACGCTCACCAGTGTTTCCCCATACAAATAGAACTTACATATTTTTCTACTCAAATCTCTCTCTTTTCTTTATGCTCTCTCAATAGCAATGGTCTTCGACCCCTTCTCTGTATGTGCAGCTCCCCTTTTATGCTTTTCTTCTCTTGATATGTGTCCACGTTCTTACTCAATCATGTTGTCTATTCTCATTTAATAATGTTTGACTTTTTCCATGTGCTTCATACTTTCCTCCTTTCTTTTATGTTTGCTCCATACTTTCCTCTTTTTGCTCCATGTTTTCATGTTGTCTCTTTGTCTTTCTTGATTGAATTATTAAGCATTTTACAGACATTAACAAAGTAAAATATTTTATTATCCACGTCAGACCAAAACACAAGGAAAATTTAATCATGATTTGTTTTCTAATTTGCTTGGGGGGTTTTTAATGCATTCATACCATTAGAAACTCAATCATATTGAACGAATTATAAATAGAATGAAGAATGTCAAGCAAATAAAAAGTTATTATGATTAAAAAAAATAGAAAATCAAAATGAGAAATATTAGAATATGACGGAGGATATACCATAATGTCTTGCTAATGGGGAATCCCCTCTACTTCTCCCCACGGCATCCAATAATAATAATAATAATAATAATAATAATAATAATAATAATAATAATAATAAGAAGTATTGCTTAACTTTCGTATGCACAATGATATTTTTTGAGGTTTCTATCTACTATGGTATAAATTTCAGTTTATGGTTATAATCTTAACATTTTTGCATTCCGTAAATTGAGAGAACAAAAAATATCGCAAGTTAAATTATAAGTTTCTATAAAAATTTAGACACAAACTATACAGTTGTTTACAAAATATGATAATGCTAAAAATATATCCTTTTTAATATCTTCAATGACTTTTCTTTAATAAGTTTTGATGGACAATTGTTTTTTGATATAGTAATATGTTAGTGAGTTAAATAAAAATACAAAATAAAAATATATTGAAAATGCTTTGAAATGATATATAAAATTAATTGTTAAAAATATAATATTCAGGTAAATGATATGTTAAATACCTATAAATGCAAAGCAAATGGATTAAAATTTGGATACAGTTTCCAATTTCATCCCAAACGTTTTTAGTAAAAAACATTTGGAGAACAAAAAATATCATACGTTGCTCCTATAAATTTAGATTGTTATAAGTACATATTATATTTTGAGATATTTTGTATTTGTATTTTTATATTTTTAAAGCGAAGTTTTGGGTGCTTTTAAAGTAAGCGAAGTTACAGTCACAGATCAAGAATATCCAATGGCATATGCTAATGTATGTATCCCCTATCGGGTAACTTTTTTACTTATTTCTCAAATCAAATCTTAAATTAGATTATATAATTTGTAAGGTTTGACAATGTGATCGAATTGTATATTAAAATTCATGAAGTTTTATCCACAATTTTCAGGGAATTTAGATTATGTGTATGCATGAATTTAATTTTAATTCACGATTTTGTTATTTCCATTATTTTTTACGTCGTGAAACTGTCTAAAGTCAAAAGGAATAAAACTTAAAATTTCAATATGTTTGACATAGGAAAAATAATGGAATTATCCTATATTCTTTTAGGTAAATTCCACATCCGATATTTTATGAATACATGTATATATATATATATATATGTGTGTGTGTGTGTATCCACATCCATGGATCCTCATGAGAGATGAAGAGACATACGAAGAGCCTGTAAGCTCACTAGTTCTAGGGCTTCTCTCCTTTGGCAGGTTCTTCTTCCCACAAACTAAACACATATACATACAGTGATACAGACACACACACACACACATATACACATGATAACTATGCAATATGATTCATATATATATATATATATATATATAATTTGTGGTAATTTTATGTGGATTTGAGATTGTGACCCGCCAAAGGAGAGTTGCCCTGCAACTGGTTCAGTTTAATGGTAAAGAAAAAAGCAAAACCACATAAGGGTAATTAAATGTTGTCTATTGCATTCAATGTAATGTTTAATTTCTTAATCATATTACATATTAGTATTGTTTTATTTATTCTTCAAAGCAATGAAGAATTGTTTTGTGATTTTTAATACTCGAATATTTAGTACTTTGTTAACATCCATGATAATTTTGGATAATCAAGGATTAAAGGTATTATGATTTAATTTATTGATTTTTTTTTGTGTGTTAGTTAATTTCTTGTATGTATTGCATAAGTTTTCTTATGATTAGGTAAGTCTCCAACCATTACTGTAAATTATTATGCTGGAGAAATATAATTATGTTAGCACATACTGATAATATATATATATATATATATATGAATCATATTGTGACAATTTGTTTATTATTTTTTTACTTAACCTCTGTCTTCTTGTTCTTGTTCGGCTCAAACACGAACTTGACAATCGACTCCTTGATTCCGGAAACTCGGCCTTCAACTTGGCTGCATCGAGTTCATTGTTACTCCTCGGGGCGACAATCGCTTTCGCATGTTCTTCCACCGTGAAGTTCTTCCACGTGAAGCCCGGTCGATGTACTCTCTCTACATCTCGAGGATCTCGCTGTGGCTAACAACTCCCGGGTTGGTGAAATTCCAGATCCCTGTTAAGTTCCGCCTTGCCATCTCGATGGATATTGGGAGGAGCTCGTTGAGGATTGTCATGGAGCGAGTTGGGAATGTCATACCGGGTGATTTTGGTTGTGAAGTTTCGTGGGTTGGAGAGATCGGTGGATATAGGCATCCGACCACGGAGAGTGCATACGTTGTCGTAGTTCTCGAGCAGTTCCTCCGCCTATTTAGGGTCACAAATCAAGAATACTTAGAACTACACGATAGTATCGAACTCAAACGAGTATTGTGAAAAAACTAAAATCCAACAGTAATGACACAAGATCCTTAAACCCACATAGCCCAATCCAAACCCAAAAACCAAAGTCTACAAACAAATATAACATGTCTGGTCCCAAGTAGTTGGCTTGTTGGTTGACATTTAATCCTTTTAACACCAGAGATCAAAACAGCATCCAACATTTTTCCTACCTAGAATCCGGTTAACTTGATCCAAAACCCTAGTGATGCTGTAAACTTGATCCACATGAATGGTTTCAACACCAAAAAGAATAAGAAACAGTATCCGATGATTCCCATCCAGCCAGTTACTCTGTGGCTAACGATCAACAATACAGTATGAAAGACCATCATGAATATTGAACCAGTTTGATACATCTATTGGATCAGAATACGGTAATGCCATGGAATCAGAGATTCATATACATCATAGTCGTGGTCGTGGATCTGACACAAACGCATTCCAAATACATGATCTAGACGCTCAAACTTAGCATATCATAAGCTTTTCATCTGCGTAAAGGGTTCAAAATGTTAAAATGAAGAAGAAACTCACCATGGCCTTAGTCTTAGAGTAGAACGATCCGGTGAAATTGGGAATATCATCCTCCTTGAACCCGAGGCCAGACACAAGAGGATGACCCGAATCGTACTCGAATATACAACCCGTGGAGTAATTGATCAGAACCAATCCCTTCTCCTTACACACATCGGCGCGGGTTAGGGTTCCGACCACATTCGTACGGACAGTCTCTACCTTGTGGGACTCGCACCAGTCAATGTTGGGTCGTTCCGGTCACTCCGACGGCGTTGAGACATGGCTCGGCTTCACTGCCTCGATGTCCGCGAGCAGCGAGCGACGGTCCTCGAGCCGACCAGAGCCGTAGGTGTACGGAATGCCCTGAGATTTGCAGAGCTTGCCGAGCAGACCGCCGATCCAACCTGTCCGGCCGTAGATGAGAACGTTAAACGCCGCCGGCGAGTCGTTTGCCTCCGCACCCATTCTCAAGAACCTCGCCGGAGAGAGGAAGAGAGCGATCAGAACATGGTAGGAGAGAGAGACACGTTTGTGTTCAACGATGCTTCCATTAATCCCATTTTTGGGGGGGAATTCTTCAATTTTAGTACCTATACTTTTGAGACTTACGTATTTGACCCTAAGTTAATAAAGATGCGCCAAAGACCTTAATTTAATTTAGAAGGCCATTTGAAGAGGGGTTCTTACTGATATTAAGTTTCGTAACTAAATTACAAATAAAATTATGCCAAATTAGATCCGTGGGTCTAAAAACGAAGATAAATTTACGAGACTCGATTAATTTCTTAAGTAATTTTCAAGATGAAGATTGAGCAAAAGGATTAGAATCTGCTGCAGTCAATATACATATATTTAATTTGGCTTGAAATCATAAAGATCCAAAAGTTTATCATCCATGCATGTGCGCAGTCCAAAGAATTTCATTTATAAAAAATGTGTATCCACTTTATTTATCTAAAACTTATTATGAATATTACTTTATTTATGAGGAATTGAGTGTGTGATGGATCGTATCGCAGTCTGCAAGTCCGACGTCATTTCATTGTAATGAATTATTATTTATAATTGATGGGCAGATGCAAATCTTTGTTTTTATTTATAATTAATTAAGTAGTACATTTTTGCCTTATGTAATGATCTAAAAATTCAAATAAAATCTTGTTAATGACTTTTTATGCTGAAACACTAATGAGTATCATTGAATAGATAAGTAGCCAACGTATAAAAAGCCATCAATCATCACAATGGAGAGGTAGTCGAGCATTTTAATCACAGTTTCTATAACGATTGAGCATAGTGTACACATAAAAACATTGTCAAAATAAAATATATTGAAAAAAATTATAAAAAATACGAAAATTTATCTAATTAGGAACGCACTCGTGTTCCATGAAAGCAGGCAACGTCCTCGTAGCAGAAGCGGAGAAAACCCTAGAATGACCTACCATGGAAACTCTCAGAGCTTCTTCTTCGAAAGCTCTTCTCTCCATCTCTTCCCTTTTCACCCTTCTCTTCTTCTTCCTCGCCGCCAAAACCGCCGCCATTAAAACCAGACCGAGAAGCAAAACCCCCAGAACCACCGACCCCACAAACCCTCCAACCACCGATCTCCACCGTCTGATCTTCTCCCCCTTCTTGATCTCTCCTCCTCCACCATCCGATCTCCCGCTTTCCTCCTTCCTCGTCTCCGTCACCACCAACCCGAAATGCCCGTGCGTTTTCACGGCGCAGACTAACGGCGTTACCTCTCCCGTTAACGTCACTTTCCCGTCAAGTCCAAAGCTTGCGCACAAGGGTTTGTTCAAGAACGTTCTCTCCACCGATCTTGATACGTTCTGGAAATCGACGGTGATCGGATTCTTACCGGCGGCGAGGTTTATCTCGTAAGAACTACTAGTGTTGGTGAAGTCGTTGTTGATAGCGTTGTAAGCCAAGAGCCCTAGGACCGGAGATACGAGCTTGTAACCAGAAAGATCGTAGTTGGTGTAGTAAATGTCGGACCAATGTGAACCCAATATTTGTCGGACCAACAGAAGACGTTCGAGACACGGTTGAAGGATTGTTCCGACGCCGACATTGAACTCTTTGACTTGAGCTCCGTATCTCCGAAGGCTTCCACATCGGAATCTGACAGTATCCACTGTTATGCCGGAGTAGTTTGATGGGAGATGAACCGGTCGAAGAACGCCGGTTTTGATCGAGTGTTTCCTCAGAGATTTAAATGTGTAATCTCTAATGAGAAGATCGAGGAGTTTCGAAGATTCGATGAGCGGATTGGTCGAAGAATCCGCTGAATGAATAAGAAGGATCAGTGTGAACGTGAGAGAGGGAACGGAGAATTTCTCCATTTCGAGATCGACAGTATTGATTCGATCATATGAATGTTTTGTTTGTTTGTTTGTTTGTTGTAGTAATAGTTGTTGGCTTTGAATTGAAGAGGAAGATACATTATTTTGGATAAATTAAATTAAATTAAATTTTGTTGGCTTTGAATTGAAGTGAAAGGTATGCTTTTGTCGTTATATACATTTTATATGCCAAAGATGAAATGTTATTTTATGGAACAAAAGGTGGCACGATAGGTTTGAGTAAAGTTTACGTATACTAATGGAAAAATGTTAAATAATTTATTATACTCGTATAAAATGCGCAAAACATTCCATTTATAAGTATAGTATTATACCGGTTTGAGTACATAATATCAGTGTATCCATCCATATATACCATCGTATCTGTTACGTTATTATACCCAAAAAAAAAGGAATTTACATACTGAATTGGGTATCATATATCACCAGAGTCTATGTTAATGATTTGCGTGGAAATCCGACTATTCTTCAAGTTCAATCTACTCGCCTACTCGGTACTAGGGCTGGACGAACGGTCGGTTCTGGATTAATCGGTTATAGTTATTTTGGGTTCGGTTATTTTAGGTTATGAAAACTCATAAACAAATGGTTAATTAATTTTATTCGGTTCAGTTCGGTTCGGTTTCAGTTCGGTTCAGCTCGGTTTTGTCTATTTAAAACTATAACCAAACTATAACCAGATAAAGATTCGGTTCGGTTCGGTTTCGGTTCGGTTATAATATTTAAAAAAAAAATCAATTCATTTATAATTAAAAAATATTCAAAGAAAATAAAATATAAAATATTATAGTAATTATTTTAACATATAAAATAATAATATCTAAATTTATATTTTGACATAAAATTATTAAATAAATAAAGATCGTATTTTTTTAATGTTTATAACACACGAAACTTAAAAACAGTAATAAGAATGATAAAATACGTTTAAAATATAATAAAGCAATGATTAAATTAAGAATTCGCATATTCATATATGTATATAAATATATACAAATGAAAATATATAAACGGTTCGGTCAGATTCGGTTCGGGTTCGGTTATTTCGGGTTTTAAAAATTCATAGCCAAACGGTTAATATTTTTTAATCGGTTCAGATTCGGTTATTTCGGTTTTTGAAAAATCATAACCAATCGGTTATTTGACTCGGTTCGGTTAATAATCGAAATACCTTTATTCGGTTCGGTTCAGTTAATAACCAAATTATCCGAACCGAATGTCCACCCCTACTCGGGGTACCGGGGGAAAAAGAATAATTAAGGGAATAATAATAGTAGTAATAATAATAATAATAATAATGTTAATAATAATAGAAAGGTGGTTAACAAAAAAAAGAATAATAAAAATGAGATCATATGATATATATTTATAAATTAAATAAAGCTTGCGAATGATTGGTGTATTAACCATTATTTTAGGACAATAAATCTGAATTTTGTAAGAAAAACTAGAGACAATTTCCATAATTTTTAATAATGGCAAGAGTATTTATTTAATTTTTAAGGAAGATTACACACATCAAGATATATTTTAAAATTTTAATAAGTATCAATGGTAATTTTATCATTTTTCTAAAATAAATTTATAAATAACTTTTTTCCTTGATTTGTAAGATGTCCTGATGTTTGCAACGGTAATTTGAATTCGAAATAACACATATACATTATCGAATTATACCAGTATGACGTGGATACCCGGGTTTTAAATAATTTTGGATCGGAACTATCATTTTAGACACGTATTATTATTATTATTATTATTATTATTATTATTATTATTATTATTATTATTATTATTATTGTATTGGGACAAGAACTTCAAAAGTTGCATATTTTCTTCCGTTGACGTGAACCCCGCAACTAATTTTCTGAACAATCTTGCGGATGAATATAGCGTGTGATAATTCCAGCTGATCTTATATTATATAAATATATATATATATATATATTCATATCAACGGATAGTCGTTGATATTTTCGTTGCTATATTTCAACGGTTATTACCAACGGAAACTATCATCGCAAAATTGCAACGGTAGTTACCAACGAACTGGTCGTTGATATTAATATCAATGGAATTTTCATTGCAACATCGTTGCGATATAACAATGGGAAAATGTCGTTGCAATTTTATTGAAAACACTCAACGGACTATCCGTTGAAAATCCATTGCAAAATTTCAGTGGATTCTTATCGTTGAAATTTAACATATATATATATTATTTTGTCATATAACCATAGGTAGTCAACGATTGGGAAAAAAAGAGCCAAACACAGAGAAAATTCAAGAACGCCTCTCTGAAACATGAGACCAAATTCTAATCAACCGTACTAACGTGTCAAGAACTCTTTCTAAACATCGAAGGGAAAGATCACAAGATGATACGATAAAGAAAACATACATATATATATATATATATATATGTGCGTGTGTATGTATAGACTGAATCACCGGAAGTTGACGGCGCTTTTGTAGGTCATGCCGGTCTGCCAGCTGGGAGGAGCGACGTTCCAAGCGTAGATGGTGCGGCGGTCGGTGAAAGAGGTGATCCTGAAAGAGAGGGATTGGCCGTAGAGGGTGGAGAAGGCCTGGTACGACGCTCCCCAGTTGTGGCTCATCGCTATCCAATTCGTTCTCGACCCTTTCACCGCCATGCTCCCCACGTCACCCGAGCCCCCCACGTTCATCACGTACACCAGGAGCCAGTACGCGTTCCCCTGGAACTGGAACCTTATCCCTCCACTCCTTCTGCATGGTACCCTGCATATATGTATAGATATGTAACCACGCACACATGTATACACACATGCACGTATATATATATATATATATATATATATATATGTAAAGAAAAAAGAAAGGTACCTGCGGTAGGAGACGGGGATGATGCCAGCTTTCCAGTTAGCGATCCTCATGAAAGCAGGCTTGGTCATGTCGAAGTGGACACGTGGCGGATTGCACCAGCCACCATGGTTGGAGTCTTGTGACCAGTTGGGAGGGCAGAGGGTGGTGGCGGTCACGACGGTGGATGTATAACCCCCGTAGCAATTCGGCGACGAGACGCATCGGATCTCGAAACATTGGCCGCAGGCGG